TTAGTTTGAAGTGATCAGTTGTAATGATCAGTTGAACTGACCGTGTGTGGCGACCATTACGCCGCCGTTAGATGGCAATATTGTAACCTATATAGTTACTTAAATAAACTATCCGACTAAATTTGGGCGCTTTAAAAGAATTTTAAAACATTTTCAATAACTTATCTTACAACTAAGCTCAACGACTAATGCGAGTGAAAGAAAAAGGAAATGTTGTAATGTGTTTTCAAAACAAGTCTTTTTCTCATATACAAAAATTTATGTTTGTTTATCCGTATTCTATGCGGAGCCATACCGTTCATTAGATTGCGGTAAAACTTTGTCAGCTTATTGTTTGCTTGCGAATGTTATAGGCATAGTACACTTAACTTACACTAGGTGACGCGCGTATCGTACTGACAAATTTATTTGAAAGTTATATAACATTCAATTTCAATGAATGTATTATCATTTCTAATTAAACTATATAACTGTTCTAAATTTAAAACGATATTTACACAATTATTTCTTCTGCGGCAACAACGCGCCGGGTAACCAGCCAGTAGAATATTTATAAAATTTTGATGTGTCCGAATTTCGAAAGTTCGTATGTTCGAAATTTTTCGCCTCCCGATGATGACATTTTTATAGAGTACCTTTGAGGTTGTCTGAATGGATCTTAGCCAAAGAATATACACACTACGCGAATCTCAGCCATAGTTTGAACCGGTATTGTCGATATCCAGAAAACACGCGAAGCCGGGCGGATCGCTAGTGAGAGATAAAAAATTTATTCTATTTGTTATGCAAACTGGATGTAAAATATGTGCTAGCAGAAAAAAGTTCTGATTGTACGAGAATCACGACCGGGTGGAAATAGAGCATTTTGTAGTTGATGCACCGAATTACTGACTCGCGGTTCGTGGATTCGAATTCTAAATTAAGTTTTACTAATCTCCCTCAATAGAACTTTAGTTTTATTTAAAGATTATTTTAAGGGAATTTCAAAGGAATGAGATGCATTTACATTCCAATGTTTATTATGTCTATCAGCTATTATAGCGCATATTAACTAACTACGTACTCGTATTCGTAGAATTAGAAAGCCATATATGTTTTTTCTTAAGCTTTGTTGAATATTTGTCACTAACATCGTACCTGTATTGTATCAGGACTTAATTATTCAAGTCCTTGTAATAATTAAGCAATAAATCTTTTTTTTTCCTTTTATCACAAAATATTTTTATATCATACATGACAATACAAGAGAAATAGACAGTGAGTATGACAAAGCACATACATTTGTCGTTTATTTTTCTTATGCAACGTGATAAACGGTTCACGTGTTAGTATAGCTTGATTAAAATACAACGCTTTATAAGGTTCATTAATAACTTTATTATGACCGGGATTCATTGAGGATTGCTAATAATATTTATATAAAAATAAAAAGACAAAATTCTAAGATAGAATATTTTTGCTTTATTGATCATATGGAATAGGCAAATTAATATAACAACAGTATCATTTTCCACCATTGTATCCAGTCAAGGTCTTTAAACTAGGTAAGATATTTATTTTCACGCGGACCTTAGCTAACTAATTTTAATATATTTAATATAATGGATTTCTGCAAAATAACGCTAGATTCTGTATTGTATAATGATGTATGTTTGTATAAAAATAATATTCAGTAAATTATGGATGATAATAACCTCTCGGAACTAATTACGACTAAATTGCTTAAGGTAATCGCTTCCAAGCTATTTCTAATTTGTTTTGCGTCGTTAGTTGTGTAGCATATATGATTGTAAGCTGTTATTTTTATTTTCCAAAAAAAAGTCCTACTGCGTTTCGTATTGATTCTTCCCAGGACCGAGGTTTTAGTCCAAACCAGTAAGGTAAGATATTACTATTATTTTTATAATCACAGATTTTCATTACAATATATTGTTTCGCTAAAGTACGTAGGATTTATTTATAAATATACTTATAAATTTTATGGAATGACCTGAAGGTGAACTTCGGTATCTGCTACTGGAACTCCTCGAAGAGTAGAACTAGGTGTGCCGAGTTTGGCTTCGTTTTTTTAGTTATGATGAGATCTAAATAAATAAAAGATTGACTTCTGTTTCCATCATTACTTAAACAAATATATTATCAACGAATGGCTTAATTACTAGGTGCTGATACTCCTCTTCTGGCCGGGAGTTCGCCCGGGTACCTACCCAGCTACCCTCATACTTACTCCTACTACTAAAGAGCAGTGCCTGCACCGCTGTGGTGGTCTGGAGAGTATAGAGAACCCGTATAGTTACAGGCTGCGAGGCATTTCATCTTTATCCTCAGGGGTGACAACGAATTTGTATGTACACTACTTTATTTGTGGTTGAATTAACTTTGGTTGCAGACGTCTATGGACTGCAGTCGCCACTCAAAATTAGATGGATTATTATTTCTTTTATCAGTTCAGTTTAAAAAAATATGTTTATATCATATCATGATTTATTTTTGTCATGAAAATTTATATTTTTGTTGTACATTGTAATGTAAACTGTATATGGTAGAGCCACGTTGCAGCTATATCATGGTTGTAGCACGAATGGGTCGGCTCGACCGGGGAAGTACCACGCTCTCACAGAATACCAGCGTAAAATAGCAGCTTAATACTGCTGTGTTTCGTATGGTGAGTGTAAAGATCTGTAGACACTTTTTTACTGGAATCTAGGCATTCCATCTTAACCCTCAGGGGTGACAACGCATCCGCGTTTTGATTCGAGGATAAATGTAAATGTCTATGGATCACAGCATCCACTAACCATCAGGTCGACTGTGTGCTCGTTTGTCACCCTTATTCTATAAAAAAGCGGTCTAGGTGGGACCCGAAAGGCCCACACGACTCCCAGTGGAAAGAATAAATAAATAACATGTGTTTTAATATTTTATAAAATTTTTCATTCGGCACAAAAAACGACTTGACCGATTTTGCAAGCGATTAATGAAACTGGTCCTATGTCAATATCACTCTTTGTTCTCGAGAAACACGAGGCGAAAATTGAATCCGAACATACATACATTAGTACATGTGCACATCGCACATCCTCTTAAAAACCATACTATTCGACTCTAAAGACCTTGAAACGTGGAGATATGTTAAAGTTTCCAATTTGCTAAATCCGACCCATTACAATAACTTCCCACTGGGAAGTTAAAAAACTTTATCATATATTTCAGACAACATAGGAACATCGATCACATTAACAGATATTTAGACCTTCGTCGCTGCTTCCTATTGCCGGTCTGTGTATTTTACATCTGTTTCGGTATACTGCTAAATGTCGAAGGCTGAAACAACTACGAGTATCTGGGGTTTCCTGATTCCCTATTGTCGGCTTTTACGACACCCACGCACCCAAATGGGATGTTAGGTTCTCCTTTGCCGACACCACGTGGTTAAATATATTGTAAATGTAATGATACAATTATTAAGTTTATCATATACCATATAAGTCAACGTGGATATAATTTGTATAAAATTAAAAGCACTGGAATATGATTAACGTCGCTGAATAAAATTAAAAAATAATAAAAAATAAAAATATAAATTTCTTTGCAACTTTCCGCTAATTAAAAAATAAGTTAATTTGAAATCAAAATTATCTTTATATCTTTGTTTAATTTAAGCGGATTTCAATAAACATTTAACAAAAATGATCGTTATAAACAAATATTAAATTAACGTCTTAAAATTCTAATCAATTTCCATATTCATTTCATTTCCTTTAAATACGGTCAGATGTAACGTTAATAAATAATAAATAATAATTGTACGTTGATACGCAAAAAAGATCTAACCCAAAAAAATGTTATTTTTGATATATTGATGATTTGATAAATTTACAATTTTCTCTATTGACTGAGATTTTATTGGAATTACTTTTATTATATGAAAGAATGAATTCTCAAGAATAGAAATAGAGAATAGAAAAAGAATAGATTCTCTCTTATTTTTGAATGCATAATTACATAATTTTCGACTTACTGTAGGTTGGATCCTTTTTGTGTAACTACGTCCAATTAACGTAGGTATATAATATCGATCGTATTTTGATCAGATTTGACCGATTTTAAAGGATTTGACATGTAAAATGTTGGCAATTAACCTGCGTGACCGTACCTTATATGGATTCAGAAAGCATATTTTACTTTTGCAAATTAGTTTAAACTGACGCAATTGATAATTTTAAGTGCATTTTAAGTGTCCCTTTACAACCTGTTTTAATTGTATAAATAAAATACTTTCGCTTTCGCTGTCCTGACCCCTTCACCTTTTAGTTATAAGAACTCAATAAGTCTTGACAATTGTTATGCAATATTTTTAAATTTATTTAAGTCGAGTATATCGCAAATCGCTCGGTTCTCGCCTTCACAGTTTTATCGAGGTCCTGATTATGACTCAAGTGGGAAATGGTCATTTTTATAATATCTCCATATTAAATGATCGTTTTAATTTACATTAATTAATCCTTAACCGAAGAACCTCAGTGATTCATTCGATACATTTTAAATGATGCCAAGTTATAAAAGATAATATATAAATTAACATTTATATATAAATTCATATTTATGTAAATTTTAAAATGAGTATTATAAATTTATTATTAACTATAAATTTTGCAGATAATTAATTGACTACTTTTTTGTGATTTGCAAAAATTTAGGTAATGTAATAAGTTAAGTAATAATAATAATAATAATAAGATAGTGCGCAAAGTGCCGCTGCCTGGAGGTCGCCAGGGCGCGTCTGGAGCTGGCGCAGGACACGACAGCATGCGGGCCGCCAGCCGAGCGCGGGGCGTTGCAAGACCACCTAGCAGCCCCCCGCATCCATCATCCCCACCAGAAGGCTTGGTGTCGGCTGGGTCATCTCGGACTCAGCAAGCGGCACCCGCCGCTGGTGGAGCACGTCGCATGCGTTGGTCAAAATTAATAAACGCAAACGCATTGCGGGCGTATTTTAGGGCAAAAAAGGGAAGAAACTGGATGTTTGGCGTATCGGGCTCGGATGCATCGCTTTTTTGCAGAGCTGGAGCCATTTCTATCCGTCACTGTCCGTCACGCAAAACCTGGCAGACCGAGTTCGTTACATCCTGCGCTCCAGCATATTTGGTGACGCCGAACTCGAACGACTACGACGTGAGCCTATTCCTTCATCGAATGGAAATGCTACGTCTGGGAATGCGGCGCCAGTAGATGCGCAACAAACTGCATATGTGGATGCTGCCGTCAATATTCCATTTGTGGCTAATTCAGACGATGATGGAATAGTCTCCCACGAACTAGAGAAAATGAGGAGCATATTGGAAGAGTCGATGCTGGAAACGCGCAGCATGCCTCTTGAAAATCGACCGCGACTTCCCCGCATACCCCTTAGCAAGCGAAATCGGGCTGTCGTGCGACTCTTAACCCAATGCTGGTGACCTATTTGAAAGCCAGCCGGGACCTTTGCGAGACGGACTCAATTCTTTTTGGCGCCGCACTGGCAGTATGCCGTATTATTGGCGTCAAACTTCCCGTGGCTGGACGTGCTACTCAAAAAAGTAGCGCCATCCCAGCCTGGAGAAAAAGAATTGAGGACCATATCGCAAAGGCAAGGGTCCTTATCGGCAGACTGACAAGCTTCAGGTCGGGTAATAATAGACCGAGAGTTGTGAGCACCATTAAAATAGCGTTCGCTGGGATAAATATTAGTTTGTCCCAGCCGGATATCACGCAGAAACTAACGAAGCGCATAGATGACCTGAAGCAAAAAATCGCTGCTTGGGGGAAGCGGATTCGATGATTTAGCGAGAGGTCAAGGCGGTTCAACCAGAATCGTCTCTTCCAGAGTGATCAGAAGAGGCTCTATAAATCATTGGAGCGACCAGAGGTATGTGGAGCGGGCCCAGGACCGGATCAGGCTGACACTGTCGCATTATGGCGCGGCCTGTGGTCAGAGCCCGTAAACCACAGCGAGGGCCCTTGGACGAAAGTTTTGGCGAGCCAGAGTGCAAGTGTTACGCCTATGGACTCCGTCACCATAACGCCTGAAGACGTGGCTGAGGCGGTCCGTAGGGAACTTTAAAAGTCCGGGGCACGACGGGCTGCATCATTACTGGCTGAAGGGGTTCGTAGTGTGTCACGCTGTGCTCGCCCGACAGTTTCAAGAGGCTCTCGATCAGAAGTCGCTCCCGAGCCTCTTCACTACTGGGATCACTTATTTGGTTCCTAAAGATCAGGATACCACAGACCCGAGCAACTACCGCCCCATCACCTGTCTACCCACCATATATAAGACGCTGACATCCATTTTGAGCGCGAGAATCACTCGTCACCTTGAGCTAAATCAGGTGATGTCACGCGCTCAAAATGGATGTCGGGGTGGTGGCCGTGGAACCAAGGAAACACTCCTCATTGACGCGGTCATTGGCAAAGTGGTGAAACTCAACCGTCGGAATTTCTCCGCCGCCTGGATAGACTACAGAAAGGCATTCGACTCGGTGCCCCATACATGGCTAAAGAGAGTCCTCCAGCTGTACAAAATTGACTGTACAGTTGGAGACTTCCTCGAGCAGTGTATGGGGCAATGGAGTACGATCCTTTGTCATCTGGGCGAGCGGATGATGGCTGCGGAGAACCACATAAGGATAAGAAGGGTATCTTCCAGGGCGATTGTCTGAATCCAATCTGGTTTTGCTTCTCTCTGAACCCCTCAGTACTTTACTGGAGGGCTCCGGGAAGGAATTTCAGCTTCGAAAAGGAGGTACAAAGTGATCCACCTTTTCTATATGGATGACCTCAAGTTATTCGCCTCCAGTCGCTCCCATCTTATGGAATTGCTAAACATCACTTGTGAATTTAGCAATTCTATTGGAATGGAGCTGGGAACGGATAAGTGTGCGGTCCTCCATGTTGAAAGGGGAAGGGTTGCTAACTCTGATGGCATAGACTTATCTATGCCCGTCAACTTAAGGACAATTCCCGAGGCTGAAACATACCGATACCTGGGTATGTCACAGAACATCGGTATCGATGAGGCTGGTACGAAACAGTCAGTTTGCGACGTGTTTTATGCATGCTTGACCAAAGTGCTTAACAGCCTTTTGTCCGATGTGAATAAGACACACGCATATAACGGTTGGGTCATGCCTGTCCTCATGTATACCTTTGGCATACTCAGGTGGACCCAGACTGAACTTAACGCCCTGGATAGAAAAGTCCGCACTACCATGACGTCCCATAGGATGCATCATCCGAGATCGTCGGTAATGAGGCTGTACTTGCCGTGAAAGCATGGTGGGCGCGGTTTTCTGAGCGCGCTCCCCATGCATAATCGCGAATTGTGCAGCCTCCGTAATTACTTCCTGGCGAGATCGGATGATCCATTCTATAATGACGTCATTTCTAGTGATAAAGGGCTTACCCCTCTATCCTTAGCCAACGAGCAATGGCAGGACCCAGCAGTGCTTAGCATTTCCGACCGGGAGACCGTATGGAAGGAGAAGGAGCTCCACGGAAGGTACTACAGGGCTCTACATGAGCCCTTAGTAGATACAGTCGCCTCCCTCAACTGGCTACATTTCGGTGATCTCTTCGGGGAAACCGAGGATTTTGTCTGTGCAATACAGGATCAGGTTATTAAGACCAACAACTATCGGAGATATATCCTAAAGGATGGCACCATCGACATTTGTCAAGCTTGTCGCCATCCCGGTGAGTCACTTAAGCATGTCATCACCGGTTGTTCGGCGCTTTCTAACTCTGAGTACTTGCACAGGCATAACCTAGTAGCCAGAATTCTACACCAGGAACTCACTCTGAAATACGATCTCGTAGACCGGAAAGTGCCGTATTACAAGTACCTGCCGGAAGCCGTGCTCGAAAATGACCGCGCCAGGCTCTACTGGGACCGGGCCATCATCACGGACAGGACTATTCTTGCGAATAAGCTTGATATTGTGCTGATGGATCGGGCACAGTCAAGGATATTTTTGGTCGACATTACCATTCCGTATGACGAGAACCTCGTGAAAGCCGAAACAGACAAGCAATCAAAATATCTGGACCTGGCTCACGAGGTGACCGACATGCGGGGTGTTCTGCCGACCGAAATTATTCCTGTAGTCGTGTCTGCAAACGGGTTAATCCCAGCCAGCCTCTCGGGTCATCTGAGGCGACTGGAACTCCGTGACGGACCGCTCCGGGCTCAAATGCAGAAGGCGGTGCTCCTCGATACCGCCCGCATCGTCCGCCGGTTTCTTTCCCTTTCCCCCTAACCCTCGGCCGTTTGGTCTCCCCTGCCGAGGGCTTCCATCTGGTTGGGCTTTTATTTATTTATATATTATTTATTTATTTATGTTAGTATATTAAATATATATTTAAGTATATTTATTTTTCCCTTTATATATTTATCCAGCCCAACCAGATGTGATTACTCTATTAATAACCCAATAATAATAATAATAATAATAGGTTAATATAACAACAGGTTTTTTTCGATAAATTCACATTTCTATAAATATTAAAATGAGTATAGAGAATATTAGAAATTTCGCAGATTTAATTGACTATTTTTTTCACGTGATTTGCAAATATTTAGGTAATATCATAAGTTTAGTAATAATAATAGTAGGTTAATATAATAATAGGTATTTTCAATTTTGCAAATATTTTTTTACATGATACGACGCATAGTATTTAAATATGTTAATAACTATTGTTGTTTAACTTTTTTTTAACGTAGGACTCCTTATCTGCATTCTCTGCGGCCAGTTAACATTGCTTGCGTTGCTGTATTCCAAAAGGAAGGGTTTAGACAGCTAGTATAATTACAGATTGTGAGGCATTTTTATCAGTCCTCAGAGGTGACAACGCTTCTTTGTGTGAAGTTAGCTACAGGTGTCTATTGACGCAAGTGCAAGTATATGATTTATAAAAAAAATCCATTCAATTTATAATAAGTAGCTAAACGTCGATATTATTTTATTTTTTAGCCCAGCCTTGCTTAGACCTCACGACGGTTTTACTCGTATATTATGACAATAACCGAACCTCAACTCTTTTTTATAGGATAAGTATGACAAACGAGCACACAGTCCGCCTGATGGTAAGTGGTTGCTGTGGCCCGTAGATATCTTCATCTATCCTCGATTAAGAATCAAAATGCAGATGCGTTGTCACCCGTGAGCGTTAAGATGGAATGACTCGTTTCCATTAAAAATGGTCTCCGGTGCTCTACACTGACCATATGAAACACAGCAGCGTTAAAGCTACTATTTTATGTTAGTATTCTGTGAGATCGTGATCCTTTCCCAGTCGAGACGATCCTTTTGTGCTACAACTATACTAGTAATATAACTACAGCATGGTAGCTTACTTTAGAACTTTACGTAAATAAAAATCTTCACCTTATCCAAACCTTCGAGTTTCGTAAAAGTAGACTAAGAGAAAGGCCAAAAGACCCACGACAGATTGCAGAACCATGTCGCATAGGAATGTAGTATAATAAAGCAGTAATAGAAGGCAACATGAAATTAATATACGAAACTTCTGGTACTAGGGTCGCCAATCCGTCTGACAAGCGTGAGCCTGATTAACGCGAAGAAATTCGTGTCCAACAGTGAAGTATTATCTGTAGGCTAATAAAGAATAAGAAAGGTGAAAGTGTGCTTCCTGTGCTTTAAATAATTTCATAACTATTTTCGCCCTTATAGATTACTATTAATAAATATACGTGATTAACTTAAAACCTTACAATATGTTTGCAAAATAAACAAAAGATAAAGAAATATTTAGAAACGTATAAAACGAGCAATCGAGCACAGTGACAAGATCGAAACAGGCCCGCGTAATGTACATAAGTTCGCGTGCCGAGCTTGCGACACTGCCGCGCCCAAACAGTGATGTGCGTGATGTTCGTGATATCAACCCGTATCGATGTAACGTTCATCGACTATCGAACTTTCTTGTTTCAATTCGTTTCGGAACAATTTCTTGGGTTATGTCATAAATTACTCCACATATTACATTTTTCCTATTCGAGTTTATATAAAGATATATACCATCTGATTTGTAGAATTAATATAAAAATTAAAACAAATAAATTAGATTCACAGAAAAAAAATTACGAATTTAATGGCTACATTTTTATGTACGAGTATTACGTTAATGGCGTCATTTCTTATATGTTGCAACCATTGCGGCTTGTATCTTGTTGTTCCTTTAATATATGCGTATAATGTTATGGTTTATATAATAAAATATAATAAACATATTTTCTCATCTAATTTTATATATTGTTATAACATAAGTGCTAAAAGCGAAGTATAATAGTAATTAAAGAATTTTTTTAAACGGCGGGAATTTAATCGCCGCAATGCATGACAGTTACCGACAATAGATATTTGACACATAGTCGGGATGGATGTTTTGACTGGTGAGC